GACTGATGGCTTTGTGCAGCAATGTACCTGCTCACAAAAGGCAAAATGTGTTTCCTGTGTGAGGAATCAAGTCCATCCCATCCTTCGCTCAAGACCTACGGCAAACAACATGGGGGGGTTTTTTCTCACTTCTCTACAGAGAAGACTGCTTACTCATCTTTGGGTGGTACTGGAATTTTGCACCTGGAAAAAGTGACAAACGCTGTTTTTCTGTCTGTAAGATTTCTGATGTTCAGCTGATGCTGATTACAAATAGACATGAGCCCTTTCGATACAGACTGAAGGTAGTAGTCAAATTGATGATCTAGTCCAAAAGAAGCTGTTTGGTTTGTCTCTCAGACTGATTGCTACTTGAGTTAAATATGTTTATGATGGAAATACTAAGGTATCAAGTACACTGTAAGGTTTAAAATAAGTATTTTTTTTGTCTTTGGATATAATAAATTTTTCTTAAATATTAATCTTCTGGAAAAAAAACTCTTTGAGAACCTATGAACATGATTTTACTGCTGGATATTCTTGAGACAGAAGCAATGGTCCAAACTTGCATGTTTTATAAAAGTTGCAGAATGTTTCTTCAAACTTTGTACAAGAAATTTTGCATTTGCTAATTCCAAAACTTACAAAAACATTTGCTACACATTGATGTGAAAAGTTTAGCTTTTTCTTCTCAAAAGTTAAGTGAAAAGTGCCCATCTTAACATAAGCTCTCAGCAGTATCACACCAGCAAAATTTCTTGGGGAAGATAACAGAGAAGGAAGACTGCATGTTCAAATTGCTTGTTCTGAATACCAAAATTTGCAGCCCCAAACACTGGTAGAACTGTCATGGGATATCATCTGGCTTTTACTGCATCCATGTATCATAGCTGAAATAACACATCCATGCACAGATAGCATCTAGCAGAACTATAAGCAAAATGTATGTCCTAAGTATCCCTGAACTCTGCTCCCCAAAGCGGAGCTTCCTCCCCCATGAATGTATGCATCCTGTAGGCCAACATCAGGAGAACTTGATTTCTTTAGTCAGGATAGTGAATCTACAGGAAAAACTGCAAGTAAACAGACTGTGCTGTCTCCATGTGCATTTTCTAACAACTGCTGCTCTTCTGAAACCACTTCTTTGTGTATCTGATGGACGTTTTTGTGGCTTTTGATTTCTGACATGTTTATGCAGATCACAGGAATATTTTGTCCTAGATTTTTCTTCATATTTGAGGTGAGAAAAGGAGAGCAGTGGTTTTAGGGTAATCCTGAGGCCAGAGTTAGCAATGGGTTTAGGATAATCCTGAGGCCAGATTTACTGTTGGTGTAAAAGCAGGCATTACTGAAAGTCACTTTGACACATACAAAACATAGTAAAATTATTGAAAGATGATTCTCCCACATTCACTATCCCAAATCCCTTTTGGTTTCTTCCCATGGGGAACTGGAGACTAAGAGAAACCCCAGACTGATTTAAAGGAATTAAGTTCTTTAAGGGAATTGTACTGCTGAACTCTTAAGGGCATGCCAGCAAGTGAGATGGAGGGGTTAGGTTTTCCTGGCAGGCCTGGGCTTTGGGGGAGGTATCATGGCTAAGGCAGCTAGGATGACATCCTCTGCTTTTGGATTGTGTCCTGAGTGCTCCTTAGGCTGTGCTGTGCCAGGAAGTCCATGAGGGAGCAGGATGTTCCTTGGCTGTTGGGCTGTAAGCAGCCATACGTGTCCCGCTAGCTGAGGCAGGGGCTGCAGGCAGGGGTACTTTTGGCCCATGGTCATGAGATCAAAAGGAGGATGGATCCTGAGAAAACAACTGTTTAGGGTGCTGGGCCTAATTGCAAATGCTGGTTTTGTGGTTTAGCCTATTCTGTATCAGGGAGTCTTGAAAATACCTAAGCTTTTAGATCCATTAAAGTAATGACTACTACAAGCCATACGTAGTAGTTATTGTAGGATAGTTGACATTGGCTGTGATCAGAAACTGCTTTCTTGTTTCTTTGTGCTTTTCTCTTAGAAAAAAAATCTACACACAGTCAAAAAAATTTAAAAATGGCTTTAAATTCCCAGTGTGAGAATAGAAGCCTGATGTAGGGGAGGATTTCATTTTTCTGAAATGAAACAAACCTGTCCCTGCGAATATAAGGCAGGAAAATCCACAAATAGAAAGTACTTAAAACTACACAATACTGGGTTTTTTCTTACTGTTGTTTACTCAAAGAGTGCACAACACACACATCATTGCTGTGCCTACCAAAGGCGTATTATGGGAGGAGGGCAGGAAGAGGAGTAGGTTTCTGTCATTAATTGACTTCCTACAGTATTATTTTGAGACTGTATTCATACAAGTCAGATGTGATGTGATTAAAAACCTCCATTTTAAATAATCCGAGGGTTACTTTAGAAGAAGTTTGGGCGCTTCAATTTTTAGTGATTTCTACTGAAATCACGGTAATATTTTTGTTAAAGCTGCCTCTTGAGTGTGGAATTTGCAAGTACCAAGCTAGTTTTGGTAAATGCTGTTCTTATAAACTGGTCCCATTCTCCAGAGTGCTGAATACTCTTGGTTTTCAGGTACTGTTTCTTTCCTTTGGTCTTGTGTGATTCTTCTTTATTTATTATAAATCATCTTTTGGGTTGGAGTGAATTTCAATACCACTGAGTATGCACACAAAGAGTTCGTGATCTAACTGAAGTATGGTCCAGTTGTAGCTAAGCAGAGCCTCAAGAGGAGGAAAACTGCAGCATTTGCAGCAGAATTAATGTCTGGTAGATTTACCAAGATGTGCTGGTTCTGACACAGATTGACCAAATCTGCCTGGATCTGGAGCACCGACTGACCAGGTTTTTATTTAAAAGTTAAATAACAACAAAACCACTACAGCTTTGAGTTTCACTGTGTATATTCTCTAAGAACATCCTCCAAAATTGTGTCTGACTGGGGGCTTTGGGTGTGTGTTAGAGAGGCTCCAACAGCAGTTACTTTTGGCTCACAAGCACATCTTTTTGCAGTACCTAAAAAACAGTGATTCGTGCAACTTCAGAGGCTCTTCTGTCCCTAAATGTCACCAAAGAGAGCAGCTGCACGTGACGTGATTTAGTACTGAACACATTTGTTACACTCATTTCTATCAATTTATTTTGTATATAGAGCTTTTTATACACATTTTTCTTAATTATGTAACTGTCATGAAATGTCATGAAGCTACAAGTAGCTTGTTTTAATGCAGATTAAAGCTGGTGTTTGGCCATTTGTTTTCTGAAGGCGTTACTTGAATTTGTTTCCATTAGGTAGTGAAGTCTGATAATGTTTACAGGATCGCTTTCTTTGGTTTTGGGAGCTTTCCCATCTTTCTTCCGACCCCCTGTCCTAAGAAGCAGAGAGTTCATGCTCAGCAGTCAAGCAGATGTGTCAGAAATGAAGAATTTGTATTACTTTGTCACCAAAGCATTGGGAGTGACATGCTGATTCCCTCCTGTTTACACTGCTTAGCTGACAACTTAGATGCTTAACATGATCCTCTGTGATTTCTCCTGTCCCTTATCCTGTTATCAGCTTTATTGTGGGAAACTTAAATCTTCCTGAATGATGATTTACAATCATGAAGCTATCCCAGAGAGAGGCAGCATTCCTGCTGTTAAGTCTGTTCCATTTTTAACATAGATGAATGAAACATCCCTGGGTTATCTCTGCAGTTCCTTTTGTATTTGCCAGCAAGGGTCATCAATGTTTGCACTAATCACAATGTCCCAGCCGTTCTGCTTCCACAAAGTTATTTTTAATTGTGCTGCATAAACTTGGAATGAGCTGTATTTAAGTTTGGGACGACGTGTAAAAGATACCTGTAATAATGATGCACTTGCATTTTTTTGTATGTTACAGATAGGACTCATCCTATGCACAGAGAAAACGTTGCCATTTATAGTTTAATACTTGAAGTAACTTTTTGAAATGGGCTTTTATAAATGAATTAATTACAAGATCACATTGCTTTGCCTGGAAGTTCCTTCATGTTTTAATTGTATTTGCAATTTCCCCATATGTATACTTTTCCATAAAGTTCTCTTAAGCCATTTATAACCAATGAAAGTGCATTCAAGATTTTGTACATCAGTGTTCAGACCTGTTCATACTTCTCTGAAGTATAATTCATGTTTAATAAAAAAGTACCATTTTAAGCCTCTTTTCCAAAGTGATATGAATGGACTTGACACTTGAATTCATCAGTGAATGCAACATCAACTTAATAAAAGTATGTGAAAGAATCTGAAAGTGCTCAGCTGTAGCATCTTTGTTACTAGATCACCAAGAAAAACTGCCTACCTGGGAAACACTGCACCATTGCTCTGGCTTTTACACTCCAGCTGCAACAAACCTAAGATTACACTCACTCTTGACACATCTTCCAGGTCACTGGGTCTTGTGGGGAAATAAAAAGCCTGACTTGTGGCTAAATCTTATTCCTCCAGGATACTAAGCCTGACTTAGAAGTCAACTGCTCAAACAGGAATTAGCCATGTTCCTTTTAGATCAGGAACAACCTGTGTGAGAGCTGTAGCACCCAAGTTTACACTGACAGGACAATGACACTGGCAGTTAAATCAACTATTTTTTCCAGATTTTTTTTTTTTAAATGGAACATTTTATAACATTCCATGAATTCCAGCCTCATCCCCCATCTCTGCAGTTCTAGTTCCCCTTGGTCCTGGCATGCCTGATGGCAAGTGTCACAGTCCTGTCTCAAGCACCTGGTGTACACAGAGCAACCCCTGAGGAAGGGTGACCAGCCCAAGGCACGTGGCCAGCAGCTGAGCCCTTCCAACACAGCAGGAGTGTTCTCCAGGCTTTCAGAAGGCAATCACTGAAGCTAGCTGGGTTATAGATAGCTGAAGCCAAACTAGGTTATCTATAAATCACCACCACTGCACCTGGTAACTTGCTGTTTAAGCCCTGAAGAACAGAGGGTGGGCAGAGAAGCACACAAAGAGCTTCTCTAACAAAGCAAGAATAATAACACATACACTGTTCCAGGGGACTACTTTTAATGTAGTATTTTGTACACCACAGCAACATCTTATTTGTCACCCACCCGAATTACAGTGAAACACCATAAAAGGTACGAGAGCAGATCCCAGGGTAGTGCACGGCATGTGACAAATATAAATATGCTGTGTTATTCAACATGTCCACTTCTTTGTCACATTTAAGTGGTTTAAATGATCGCTGATGTATCTGTGCTCAGGAAACTTGGCTCGTTTCTGGCTTTTGAAAGCTTCCCACTTGGCACGTCTCTCTTCCGAGTTGTGTTTGTATTCCTGTTCCTTTGTCAGGTAAGGCTGGCTGAGCCAATATTCATTCTCTGCTTCAATTTCCAACCTTCGGACCATTGCTTGCTTCATCGAAATGGTAACCTGTCTTGGTCGCCTGTACTTCCCAATCCATTGTTTGCCAGGAATTCCCTTCCGCAGTAATACTGTCGTTAAAAACATTTTGCCTTAAAACACAAACAGAAATATAAAATACTCATTACCTTAGGGACAAAAATAAAGCTTTGAAGAGAAAGATTAAAAGCTCTGCACTCACTCCACTGCCTTTTAGCTGGCTGGTTTGAAGGCTCAAGCTCAGAGCCAGGTACTCGCAAACCATCACACACAGCAGGCAGCACAAGGCCAGGTACACTGGAAACTTAATCAGAAAAGGGGAATTGAAACCTATGTCACTTAAGAATTTATTCAGTTATCCTTACACTGCAATTAAAGCATATCCTCTAAAAATTATTTAAGAAAAATCCAGTCACAGATACTCAAGAATGAAGGGTTCACTTCGCTCATGCCTTCTTCAAATAGCTGTCTTGCCAAAACAGAGTATTTCCAGCTCTGTCTTCTCGATCCAAATCTGGCCTTTCCTCAGCATGAGGTTTTGGACTACAATCTCTCCATAAGCTTATTAGTATGTAATTACCTAGTCTTGTATCCTGACCGAGGAAGTCTGGCTGGCAGAGAGAAGCAATATCCTGAATTAGAGCAGGCGGCGTGAGCGGAAAGCACCGACAGACGCTGCCACAACAGGGCCGGATGATGCCTAAACTTGACACAAATGCTCTTCCTTAACCTGCTCATCAGTCCCGCACCAGGTTTAGCATTACATGGGATTTCATCAGCTTTAGAGAAATATAAAATACTCATTTAGAGAATCACAGAATACGCGGAGTTGGAAGGGACCCACAAGGATCATCGAGTCCACCCGGCCCTGCACAGGACACCCCCGGAACCACACCCGCACCTGGGAGAGGGGTCCAAACCCTCACGAGCTCCGCCAGCCGTGACCCAGAACCCACCCAAGCACTTCCAGCACGGCACAAACCAGCGCTGCCGCTAACAGAGGCCAACCCGCCCCGTTCCCACGGCGCAGCCGCACGCCGGGGTCCCACTGTCTGGCCCGGTTTAGAAGCGAAGCCGCGGGATGCGCGGGGGCACCGCTGCCCCAATTCCCAGTTCCCAGCTCCCCTCCCGGCCTCACTCACCGGCAAGCGCCGGCAGCGGCGGCGGCCCCGCGGAGGAGCCAAGATGGCGGAGGAGCCAAGATGGCGGCGGGCGGACGGGCGGGCGGGAGCGCGGCTCTCGCGAGAGGCGGCGGCGGGCGGGGCCCGGCCGCGCCAATGGGGCTCGCGCGGGCGGCGGTTTGAAGCTGGCCCGGCCCGGGTTCGCTGAGGGCTGATCCCGATCCCGATCCCGCTCCGCTTCCCCCGCTCGGAGCCATGGACGCGACCGGGGTCTTCTTCGGCAAGCTGCGGGAGCTGGCTCTCACGGTGGAGAAGGAGGTGAAGCAGCTGGAGCGGGCCATGCGCCGGGAGGACGAGGGTAAGCGCGGCCCGCGGCCGGGCCTGGTGGCTCCGCGGCTGCTCCTGCATTTGCGATCCCGCCTGCCCGAGGGCCCCCTGTGCTCCTCCGGGAGCGCCTTTGGGGGGCCCTGAGGGCAGCCTGGGAGTTGTTCGGCTGGGAATTGTTTGGGGTCCTCCTCGTCTCTCTGAGCTCCGTTGTGGGCGTGTGGCTGAGTTTTTATCACGGAGAAAAACAGGATGTCTGGGATAAAGTATGCAGCACGTTAGCTTCTTCTTTTTGCGGATCGATATAAAAAACATTTGCAGGGCATGTTCCCTCTCTGGATAGACAGCTCAGGCTTCTAATTGTGTTTATCTCTGTGCTATGTCTTGTCACGTAGCAGGTGCCCTCTTTTAGACTATTTGCATTAGCCTTGGTTTCCAGTGAGAAAAGTAATGACTGCTGCGTGTAAGTGAGCAGTGCATCTGCCCACGTGCAAATGCAATGGAAGAATTTAATTTTCTGCTGAGATTTGCTTTTCACTGGTCTCTATATCACTGATTTCATCCAAGCTTTTTAGGGATAAGATTTTAACACAAGTAATTCTTGACAGGCTGGGGACCTACCTGCTTTATCAATATTTGTCATATACAGTATTGGCTGCCACGTTAAAGTGGAAGCCTGGGCAGTTTCTCTGTGGAGTTTAACACACTATACAAAGAGCAGCTTTTTGCTGTGTGAAGTAACTGACAGGAACTAGTTCTCTTTGGTTTTGTCTAAATTGACTCTAGGGTATGAATCCCACATCTCTAATATTATAGAAGCACAGAATGGTTTGAGTTGCAATAAACCTTAAAGATCACCTAGTTCCAGCCCCCCTGCCATGGGCAGGGACACCTTCCACCTGACCAAACTGCTCAGAGCCCCATCAGCCTGACCTTGGACACTTCCAGGGACGGGGCATCCACAGCTTCTCTGGGCAACCTGTGCCAGAGCCTCATCGTTCTCACAGGAAAGAACTTCCTCCTAATACCTAATCTGTGTCTTCTGTCTCTTTGTTTGAATCCATTCCCCCTTGTCCTGTCACTACATGCCACTAAAGTCCTTCTCCATCTTGTGGGCTCCCTTCAGGTACTGGAAGGCTGCAAGTAGTTCATCCTGAAGAAGCCTCTCTTCCAGGCTCAACAATCCCAATTGTCTCAGCCTTTCCTCACAGGCGAGGTTCTCCTGGTGTCCCTCCCCTGTGCTCGCTCCAGCAGTCCCTGTGCTCCCTGTGCTGGGAGCCCAGAGCTGGAGCAGCCCTGCAGGTGGGCTCTGAGCAGAGCAGAGGGGCAGAATCCCCTCCCTGGCCCTGCTGCCCACCACTGGGTGCAGCCCAGGACAGGATTGGCTCTCTGGGCTGTGGGAACACATTGACAGCTCATGTCCAGTTTTATCATGTCATCACTGATGTACAGATTATCAGAGGCAAACCAGATATTACAAGGATTATGACATTATTTATTACTGAATGAAAAATATTTAAAAAAAATTTTAAAAAAGAAGAAAAAAAAAAATTTTAAAAAAACAAATACCTTCAAGTCACCCCAGAGTAGAGGTAAGCTGTCACACAAGCCTTAAAAAATGACCTCACACAGGGCTCAGTTTCAAAATCTAGGCCTTCTTTTAGCCTATAAACACAACAACATAAGCAGCAGGGGAAGGAGATTGTCACTGTGATATTCTATGAAAAATCCCTTCACCAGGATTTCTTCTCCTGGGAAGATGAGAAGCCTCAGAGGAAAAGAAAAACAATATTATCTGATCACTTCTGCCTGTATTTTGCTGCCCATGTAGAATGTTACTTTCATGCTAAAACACTAAGACGCCTCTTTTATTTTCTAAACTCTTTTATGTGGACATTCATCTTGAAGACTATGAAGATGAATCTCCACTCACAGCCTTGCATGACCTCCATGGCGAAATCAAGACTCAGAAGGTAACTTCTTAACTTGCTTCCTTCTTGAAAAATTACATGTGTGTGCATGTTCCATAAACTTATGGTTCTGTTTTGGTCCTTGGGTCACAATTCAACTTTGTTAGTCAGTGATTATAACCTTGTTTTTACTCGCTTACATCTAAGTCCTCATAATGGCCATGGATATTGGGGTAATGCCCAAAAACTAAAGTAGGTTTAGCAATGTTTCTTAGTTTTCAGTCACTACTGTCACTCGGGTAAGCAGGGAACAAAGGTTACAAGGAAGTTGGAGTGCTGCCAAGGTATGAGGAAAATGATGCAGGAACAGCAGCTGCCAACAAAAGAGAAAAGCTTGCTTGCTTTCCATGACCAGCCTTTAGGATAAAATCAGTCTTCACAGAAGTTTCAGTACCTTCAGCCATTCAGTTAAACATGTGAAAAATGTTGTCTATTTCTTATACAGAAGTAGAAAAAATGGGTTATAGAAATGAGCAATACAGAAATAATTGAGTGATGTAAAAGTGAAGTTTACCTTTTGCTCTGCACTTATTCTATGTACACATGGAGTAAAAGTCCGAATTAATTGCTGTTACCTCATATTTTTCTGGAGTAAAAGCATATAACTTCCTTGGCAAGGTTACCAGTAAGTAGTTATCATGTTGTGAACTGTCATTACAGTTACTTTTATAAGTTTCCATACACTTGGGCTGTATATAATACTTCCTGGTGTTCCATAGGTATTTATACCTGATGGTTTGCAGCTATAGAAAAGACGTAAATTTGCTGCTGACCTTCATCTGAATTGCAATAGAATACTTACTCCCAAGATGCTTCATGTGTAAACACCTACTGTGTGATGATTTGAAAACCAGTATTTCTATGTTTCCCCTCTCTGTCTCCAAAGGAAGATGTTAGTGCCAGTCTTGGTAAGATTTGCTCTGAAAAAAAAGCAGTTCAAGGGTTTATGAAAGCAAGTGAAATCTTGATGCAAAGAAATGCAGCAGATCTTGGAAAAATAAAAGAGCTGTTCCAGAAATATGGCTACAAACCAAATGTCAAAGACTCTGCAGGTAATGTTTCTTGTCAATACAGTATGTGAAGAAAAGTATCATTTTTATAAAATGTTTCTCTTTAGCTATGTGTATATTTCTATTAATTAGGAGATCAAGGACACCCATTTTATTTGCTTTATAATAATATCCAGAGGGTAGATTTTGTGGAAATTGGTGCTGTAAGAATAAACCAAAACACAAACACTTGGAATTAGATCTTCTGGCATGCCTTTAGGTTAGTGTGTGTTGGGTTTGGGGTTTTTTCAGGAATAATTATATTCAGAAAATATGTTAGCAAGTTTTTTTTCATAAGCCAGAGACTTATGCTGCTTCAGGTTCTCATGCATGAGGAACTATTGTAGATGCACCTCAGCTGGCTTGTATTCATATGTGATGGTTTCATTAAATCACCCTAGAGAAAATCTTAAATTCTGTTTCACAGCACAAATGGGACAAGAATGCTCAGGAATTAGGTGGCATGTGACAAGCAGTAGCACCTTGATCATTGGAGGGGAAGGAGGTCCTCAATCCACTCAGAAAATGCACATAGAGCTCTGAAAAATCCAGATGTGCCAAATGAGTTAAAGTACCTCACCTGCCAATACTACACATACTCCTTTGGGTATCAAGGGCCCAGTCAGGCTTCAAAAAGCTTTTGACATGGTCTTAACTTTCTCTGAGCATTATCACAAAACAAAATTATGGTTGTGAACTGTATTGATGTCCAAGTTAAGCTCCTATACCTGTTTTACACACATAGGGCAGAAGCTCTGATTTTTTTATAGTATCTTTCTTCCTATACCTTCTTTGCCTTTAAAGAAGTCTCCAAACAGAGCTACAATGTTAAGTTTTTTAAGTTGTACTTTTAAGCTAAGTGTATCTGAAGACATAATACCACTGCACACCAGTGGGTATATTACTTTAAATAGCCTCCTGCCCCCTGCCCACCTCACAGAATCAATTAAATTGGGGAAGACCTCTGAATCATCAAGTTCAACCTGTGGCTCTACATCACCAAGTCAACCAGACCACAGCACTGAGTGCCACGTCCAGACTTTCCTTAAACATCTCCAGGGATGGTGATTCCACCACCTCCCTGGGAAGTCATTCCAATGTCTAATTACCCCTTCTGTGGAAAAAATTCATGCTAATGTCCAACCTGAATCTTCTTTGGTGCAGCTTAAGACTCTCTCCTGGTCCTGTCACTTGTTACCTGGGAGAAGAGCCTGACCCCACAGGCTGCACCCTCCTGTCAGGCAGCTGCAGAGAGTGATGAGGTCCCCCTGAGCCTCCTTTTCTCCAGGCTGAACACCCCCAGCTCCCTCAGCTGCTCCTCACAGCACTTGTGCTCCAGACCCTTCACCATATCATTGTTCTTTACTTCTACATCGTGTGAAATTCATGGACATTTTGGGGTGTTTTGGTTTATCTAACTCCAAAAATGTACAAATTAGACATTTACATATTTTTGCAGTGAACTCTTGTTATCAAAAAAGCTGTCTCCTTTCACAAGTTTTTAGTTGCTGCATCATAACCTTTCCTCAATACTGTTTTTCTGAAGAATGAGCATTATAGTACTGTGTGCAGCCTGTGCTCTTTCCCAAAAACCTTTTCATCTCCATGCAGGGAAAAAAATACACTTATGTAAAAATTCACTTTCCCTAGAAATAATATTTGCCAATAGAGTGAAACTCAGTAAATGTGTGACCTATAAGTATAGCTTAGCTATATGCACTTTTGATACCTGTTGTAGCTTCAGGTTCAGTACTTTAAAGTCAAAGAAGGAATCTATTTTTTACAAGTAAAAAAAAATTGGATACTGGGGAAGTGTCACACTTTATTTTATAAATTCTTAAAACAAACTTCTGGCAATTTTTTTCCATTTCTTTTCTTAAAAAGAAGAGGAGGATAAAGCAAACAGTGAATCAGCAATGTCTCTTCAGGATAAATCTGATGAAGAAAAGGCAAACAATGTACCTCAGCTCTCTGCTTCTGCAGAGAAGCCGCCGTTGCCCGCAGACCCTCTGCGGAACCCGCAGCTGTCCGATTTCGGGCTCTCGCAGTACGCCTTCGCCAGGCCCTGCAGCGCGCTCAGGGCGCAGCACGCGCCCGCTGCCAGCCAGCTGAGGGCCAAGAGCAACACTCCGCTAGGACTGCGAACGCCGCGGGCGCTGCCCAAAACGCCCAAGTGTAAGCTGAGGATGGATGACTACGAGTGTGTAACACCAAAACTTGAACACTTCGGCATTAGTGAGCATACCATGTGTATGAACGAAGATTATACGATGTCACTCATCCATAAAACTTCTCAGACAATCAAAAAGTAAGTTACTGGAGTTCAGATTGTTTCTCTACTGAATTTTCTGTATTTTGTACTTGCTGTACTAATTTCTTGCTCCTATTGCCCTTCTCTTTGTCTTGAGGTGGGCGATGGTCATCTCTCAGGTTCTGGGTCCTGTGTCATTTAACTCCCTACACACCTTTTCCCTTACCTATTGCAGAGCCAGATGCTGCCATGAAATACATCTGCTGTGCTCCTTGCCTTGACTGCACCATAAGAATCCTCCACACAATGTACTAGAAATAGTAAAACACAATGTGATCTGTTGTTTTCCTTAACCAAAGGTTTGAGCCTGGCCTTGTCTGCCATAGGTATTACACAGCCAGTATAAAGGTTGCAGAAACTTTATTAATATAAACAGAAAACAGTTTGTAAAGCATTCAGTAAATTTATAGAAGCACTATATTGTCTCTAACATAATGCCCACCTTACTGTTTATTCCTTTTGCTCCAGTCTTCTCTTGAAAAGACTTCTCTAGATTTTCACTGTTCTAATTATAAAGGAAAATAATTGCAGGAGTGAGGTCATGCACATAGTTAATAGGTCATGTTTTTATAGTTAGTATTGGCAATATGTTCCATTTTGAAAGCTGACAGTACCTAAATATTTGATATTTAGAGAAATTGTTTTGAAAACAAGGATCACATGCATGAAAACCATTCTACTGGTTCTACTCATTGTAAAAACTAAAAATCATGTGGTTTCAAATACCTCTAAGACTTCGAAAACTGACTTGAAAGGTTACTTTTTTATTTAACCCAAAGTTCGACATGTGTTCATCTAAGTAAAATATGCTGCCTCATATACTGCTTATACTGTTTATTGAGGTTTTTTCAGCTTACACATTTTGTAGAGAAGATCTAAATCTGGTTATAATAATTAAGATTACTTTTTAAACATTTAATATAATTTTCTTTAAAGACACAGATTTGTGTGTAGGTTAGGTAAGTTTCCACTTTTTGCCTAGTTTTCTCTTAACTGTATATGCCATTTTTTCACTTGAAAATCATGGATATGAAAAAATAGTTTTTTAAAATTCTGTTTCCAGTGTTATGGAATTGATATTAAATAGCTTTCACTTTGAAAATCACTGAATTTTCTTTTGAAATAATTTTGGGATGTCTCCTTTTAAATAGTTATGTAATTACTAAAATTACTTGAAAGCACTATAGTATTTGATTAAGATAAAAAATTTTATTTAAATTTTAAAATTCAATTAAAAATCTTTTCCTGTTCACAAGACCCTTATTAGTTTAAAAGCAGAAAATATTTCCTCTTGTTCTGTATAATTTCATAGTCAACAGGCAGTTCAAAATAAAACCCCTAACACAGAGTTGATCATATGTGGCATCTGTTGTACCCTGGACATCTGGTTTGGGTTTGGTTTTTTTGTAATGCCTTGGACTGAAATCTCAGTGTATTTGATCATTTGTGGCTGGACTGAACATTTGCATACCACAAATTGCAGTAGAATCACACATGAAAAAATCTATAAAAATTCGTATTTGAGAAAACTAATTTTTTATTTGCATATTCATAAGTGAGTACTAGAAAAGTGACTAGGTTGGCAATATTCCTTTAATTGTGACTTCTTCGTAATACTTGAGAGCTAATTGGGGATTTGGTTTTCAGGTTGGTTAAAAGAGGAGATAATAATGGAGGGAATTTGCCAGAAATGACAGTCAAGGAAATCATGGTTACTCCTGCATCAAAATCAAGTAAGAGAGCTAGGAATGGTAAGTTAAAAATCTGTGAAATTAATATACCTATGCATTTTTACAGAATGCATGTGCAAGTGCATTGTAAACACAATGGTTAACTTAAATTGTGTTTCTGGTTAAATATGTTTAATTCAAGGCAGGTCATTTTATGAGTAATAATGTCTAAAAAGTGTTGGTGGCTTCTCTAGGAAAGTTTCTTACTCCCTATAAATTTTTTCTCATTCTTGTACTCATATCAAATTGGAATTATGCAGTCAAATTAATAATTTTGTAACTGCAGCTTATCCATGTTTGAAATAAAAATACTGTTTTGCCAACTTAGCCTTTTTTTTTCCTGAGAATACCCATTGGCTCTGTTTAAAGACAGGAAAGAAAGGGGCTAGCATGACAGTAATTTAAGACTTTCAAGATTAATGCTAAGACTTCTTTGAGAGGAGAAATAGGTTATTTTAAAAATCTTGAGACAAACATAGTGACAATTGGGTAAATGAGAAGGTAAAGCAATGCTGATTTAGGTTGGGCTTCTCCAGTTATATTGAGTAGTGGGACTAGAATGACTACTTTGCATTACCTGCCTTTAAGGAATACTGTAATTTGGATAGATCAAGCAAAATATCAACTAAAAGGATACACTTGTTTTAGAAAATTAAACTGGAACTGGTAATAGTTGTAAATGTGTGTGTGTAATATATATTTTTAATTTTATTTCACTCACCCTTGATAGCAGCAGCTGACTGGATGGCTTCTCCTATGGTATTTGTGCTCTGTACTCCTGATGTGAAGGACTCTTCCAAAACAAATAATACAGTATTACCAAGGTCACCAGAGACAAAGGAACTGCCTCTGCCCAGTCATGCAGCAACGCCACAGTGTCCAGATTTTCAAACAAGATGGCTAAAAGCAGAAGCTAAGGTAGTAAATAGCAATTATGTACATTTTCACACACTTTGCCATAAGCAGATTTTAAAATGTTAGTTTGGGGTTCTTTTCCAATGCTATTTTTTCTTATGTCACTATAAAAGTTCTTTCTAATACTAATTATGTAAGAACATTTACTAAGTACTTTACCTAACATAATAAATTAACTGAAGGCATTTAATACTTCTTTTGCAGCAGCAGGTAACACCAGGGGCGAAGCTTGAGTCAGTGACAAAAAATGATGCAAAAGAGGTGCCACACAAAGAAGAAAGAGTTCCTTTTGCTGCAAGCTCTGATGAGTATCTTAAACATACTGGGGACCCTTCCCCTCCCAAACTGGAACACTATGACCATTTACTCAATACTCCTCCACCTCCAGAAATAACAAGGATACCAGATAATGTTCTAAAGGTTAGCTAATACAATTTTTTCCCTAACTAATTTTAATATCAAAATACTATAATTAAAAGGGCCTAGTTTCTATCTGTAATCCATCTGTTTTGATGGTAATTCTTTTTATTCCTGTTTAATCTTTCCTATAGATGCTTTCCCAATATAATCATAAGTTAGACTCTTCTAAAGCCAAGGAAATGGAGACCAAGGCAGGAAATACTACAAGATATGAAAGTGGTTCCACTGATTACAGCAATAAAGAGAACAGGTATGATTATACTTTACAAATTTGGTTAAGTAATTAAATTTGTGGGAGGTACAAAGAGGCTTTAATGCACTTAGAAATTCATATAGTTGCTTGCTATTCAACTATCAGAGCAACTTTTTTTTCTGTGACTAAATAACTGGGGGTTTGGCATGGTATATAATTGTCTGTTTGTAAAGAACAAATATTACAGTTGATAATGTGTTTGGATTAAAAAAAAAAAAAGAAAGGCAGATTTTACTGTAGGTTTATCTGTAGGTATACTTTGCTTTGTGGCAATGAAAACACCAGTGAATGCTTTTTGGGTAAATTTAGGCAATGCAATAAAAGAATTTGGTTAAACGTATCTAAGTGAGAATTGATTTCACACTTGTTTTGGTAAAGACAAAATACTTTAAATGAAAAGCTACAATAAGTATGAGTAATCTTAAAACAATTGAATTATAGTTTTATACAGAACACCATCAGTTTGAATATTAAGAAGATTTTATGACAACTTTATCAAAGCATACATATTCCTGATTCAGTGTAATATATAGTATGCTTGTTGATTACCTGTTAAACTTAAGAGTCTGTAAAGATTATTTAAATAGGAGATGCAAGGAACATGCAAGGAACAACTCAGAGTGACACTGATAAAAGTTGGTATCTTACTATACTTGGAAGTTGGAGTCCATTTGAGTAATCTCACTTTAGCTGAGAAAGCTTCATTTTTTTGTTGTCAAGACAAAAAAAAGACAAATTTTCAATATTTCTGTCTTCTGCTAATTCAAAATATGATTTAAATAAGCTCATGAACACATCTGGGTATATTTTCAGAGGATATCATGGAGTTTTCAAGACAAACATCTGAAATGAAACTGAAGACCATGCTGAAATTTTCACATTCATGGATCTTATCACCAAATCATAACAAGTTCAAAAAGCAAAAGGAAATACTGATGGGAAGAAAGAGCCATACTGAGAAAAGGCTTTTTTAAATGGAGAAGAATTCTTTATCCATGATGTGGATAAACTTGCTTTAATTTAAGCTTAATTTTCTGTTGCATTAATTGGCAAAAATGTATTGAGGGGTTTTAAATATATTGCACTTCAAAGAGGAATGGAGATCCATGTACAAGGTGGTACTTCAATTTTGTTGTGTAGGATTGCATTTGCAGTAGGCTGTAGAGAGTGCAATTAAGATTGTAATAAAAGGAAAGTCCAGTATATTGCTTTCAAAAGTGGATATCTCTGGCTGTTCTGGTGGCTGTACATCCTTTCAGGGATGGGGCTGGAGTCTGGTACTTCAACAGTATTTGGTATCTTCAACAGGAACAAGTAAATTTCTTTATATTGGAAGAGTAACTCCTGCTTTACTGTTTAAAGCAGTTCGGTGCTTTTAGTCCTTTCTGCAGTGCTAAGATGTATCTTACACATTCCTGCACCTCTCTGCCAGACAGGCATTTCACCTGCAGCTTCTTTCTTTATATATGAACATAGTATCTCTCAGGTGCTATGCATCTGGTTTCTTTGTAGCCCTGCAAGGTGACTCTGGCTCTACTGGGAATCAGTTGAAAATGTGCAATTGTTACTGGTTATGTGTATCTTCAGCTGCTTGGGAGAGTTTGCTGGCAGGCCTGTAGGTGGTTGCTTCCTCTCCTGCTGCTGCCATGTGTATTCTCTTCAGTGCTGGTGTCATTTATAAATGTGCACATCTAACCCTACAGTAGGTGACCAAGCTGAAGTTCCCAGAGCTGTAGTGCCAAACATACAACCCCACTGTAATTAGGGGTTTTTTTCCTACCAGCACTTTTATTGTTTTCCACCAGAAAACACAGCTCCATATCCTTGTTTGGAGCCAATTTGCTGTTTCCAGTGTCAGCTATTCCTCTAAGCAACTCCAGGACTGTTCTTACTATATGTCTTCCATTTGATGACTGAAATTCTGTCATTGATGTGAGGGCAGACATGCAACACATGAGAAGGGACAGACTGTCACAGGAGATGGGGATAAGTGGATGTTTTCTGAACTCAGCTCCACTTTTTTTTTAAGTCTTCAGGATATGCAAATATCTAGAGAAGCCCACAAGTATTTCTTCATTTGCTTAGACTTGTCCTGGTTAAAACTTAACAAGTAAAGGTGCCTTTTTCCTGCTAATGCAGTCATTTTCAAGGATAAGCATGCATCACATTAATTGGAGGTGATTTTCTACTAGTTCTGACCTGAGCATGCTGTCATTGAAAATGCTAGTTTCTGTTTAAAATTATGTATATATTAATGTGTCAGTCTGTGAGATTAATTAACACTTTTGGATACTAAATAAATCTGTCTCAAATGCTTGGTGTCTACTATAAGAACACTTATTTATTTACCCATCCTCCTCAGAGAGTGAAGGCCTGCTTCCAGCTTTTTCATGGATTAAAGCCTGGTTCTGCAGTTCTGCTGGTTCTCTGGTTCTCTGCTGGTTCTGCAATTTCATGGCCTTGGAAAGGTACAAAGTATTCTTGCTGCAGAGCAAGAGGGTTTCAACCAGGCATATTTACCAGCACCAAATGGGAGGGATTTCACAGCCTGCAGTCTTTTCTTGCCCTGCAGCAAGCCAGATGGCCTTTTAAGATGAAATGGAACAAGCAGCACTACTACAGACCTTGCTGTATTCCCCTGTCTTCAACTAATGAAATTCACAAAAGGGCTTAGAGAAGTCTTTTCCCTAAACTTGAGAACAACTCAGCACTCCACTGTGCTTTCCTCCATTAGGGAACTGTGGAGCTGTACCTTACTTGTGGAGCCGAGTTTCTCACTGCAAGGCACTTCCATAATTTTGCTTGCCTATTAATATTTTCTGTTATATATTATTAACTAATAATTACCTTCAATATGACAATTGAAACCTTAAAATCTTCTGGTCTACTCAAGATGTTGTGACATGATACAGGGATGAGACTTTTTGGAATCAAGAAATGAAGCAAGTTTTTCTTGCCTTCAATATTACTCTAATACATGTAATGTTGTTGTTTGTATTCTTTTTTTATAGGCAAAGCATTGCTCTGAGATTTGATAAAATCATGACAGCAAAACAAAAACTAGTTTCTGTTTGCTGTACTTCACCTTCGAAATTCTTTTAGGTTTCAAGATGTCCGAAACAGTAGTTTGAGTAATGGGAGTGGGTGGGGGGGAGGGAAATGACAGCAGTGAAAGTGTAAGCACTGGAACAGGCTGCCCAGAGAGGCAGTGGAGTCTCCTTCTCTGGAAATATTCAAAACCCACCTGGATGCAATCCTGTGCAATCTGCTATAGCCTGAGAGGTGGGTGTGTGGTTGTCTGATATATTGGAAAAACCAAGGATGCAGCCAACCCACCTGGATGCAATCCTGTGCAATCTGCTGTAGCGTGGGAGGTGGGACAGGTGGGTGTGTGGTTGTCTGATATATTGGAAAAACCAAGGATGCAGCCATGGGGCTGGAGGAGGGTAAAACTCCTCTTAAGCCAGTGCTGTTGCTGGAGAATGGATTGCAGCTGGATGAGCCTAAGTTAATAACGTGTCAAAGTGGGAATGATGCAAAAGAACTTAAATTTTCAAGTTGCTTTGTTGTGGGGTGGATCTCTTTAACAGCATTGGCCTGTCAGGAAGTGCAGTTTGGATAAACAGTAGCTACATAAGTAGGAAACAGAATGGTTCTGTAAGAGACAGTCATCATCTGAAAACAAAGCAAAATTGCCAGAGTGCAGTTTTGTGTTGTGCTTTACTTAGTTTAACTGCTTCCACTGGAGGCTATTTCACTAATTCCCTTGCACAGAATTTGGGGGTTGTACTGTTTTACAATAGATTTCTTCATTTGCCAAGACACTGAAAGGCTAATTATTTTTGTTTTCTCGTCTAGTTTGTCCTTCCCAAATTTAATCTCAAACTCAGCTTTTGCCCATGTGAGTGCTGGATCAGATGTAAGAGAAGGGTGAGAAGGGAGATCACATCTAGCAGTGCCTGCTCTCAGAAAAGATTGAACCCAGCACAAAATTGCTCTTCAGTATTTAAAAGCATCTGGGAAGTAACCAAAAAAGCATAGCCCTTACTTTTCCTTCATTTGCTGTGGTTCTTAATTTTGTTTTTTAAGTATATCAAATATGTCAGCTAACAGAAGGTTCTCCCCCTAATCCCATTTGTTGTCAAAGGAGCATCTCAACTGTTCTGCCCAGGAAGCCCCTTAATAAGGTGGTCAGTGCTTTCTTATCTGGGCAATACTTTGCCTGAGGTTGAACACAATTATAGGTCTCTCAGTGAAATGAAACTTCCCAGATGGTTGTCAAAAGGCTGATTGATGAGGATTTCTTCTAGTGCCTCCCATTGTGTTTTACTGAAGATTTTATTAACCACTGGAGCAATAATTGGAGTCCAGGATTCCTTGTTTTTTTTAAGCACCCTGGCTGCTTTAAATTTCCTGTAAACTATCACATTTGCTTTGTTCTCACTTGTCACTATTTAAATGTTCTAGCACTCGTGGTGGTTGCACGTGCTCCATTAACAGCTGTAGCTGGTGTTGGATCTGCTTTCTGTTTTGGGAGTACCTTTGTTGTTCCCCGTGGGACAATAATACAGATATTGTGGCATTTATAAGGAGCAAAGACAATATCCAGTGGCCACACTACAGAATCACGTGTGCTAGTCCAAAGGAGCACAATTTTCTGCCAGGAAGACATTGGCTGATGCTGCCTATATCAACTTAAATGTAAAACCATATGCTTTTCTTACACTAATACCTACTTTTGTAAAGGGGCAGTTGACATCCTAGTAGGAGCTGACCAGATCCAGGAATTTCTTTGAACTTATCCTGCCTTACTCAAGTTGAAGATTTTTTATAAATAAAAAAAGTAGCATAAATGTGTCTGTGGGAAATGGTCCATGGAATAAGATGCTCTGTCACACAGGCATTTATCCTGGGAAGGGGCCAAATTTGCAGAATACCCAGCAGGAAGGTGTTCAGATGCTTCCATCATTTTTGGCATACTGTATTCCTGGCTTAAAGCCCTGGGGTTACATTCTCTAAGGATTGCTTATGAAATTGTTGTAAACTGATCTAGAGCCTTCTGCATGTTCCCACCTTTCCTCCCCCAGCTGCAGGTCCCATGCCATAGGTTGTCGGTTGCATCACAGCAGTTGTGACTGCAGGGAAATCCATTTCTGCTTGCCCAACCACCAGGAGCTAATTACTGGTTTCCAGGATTAAATTGTTCAGGGACTGTGCACTGACCCAAATCACTGCCTGCCTGCAAAGGCATTGATGGCTGTTGAGGCATGAGAGAGGTAAGGACAGGTGTGGGAGCCAGCACATCCTCCTTCCCTGGCATGGTGAATCCTATCCTGTCTGTCCAGCTGCTTTGGTAAGGTTGCCTAAGGCTGTTCCTCCATAATCACTTCAGTGGCAGCTGAAGAAATTCCTCCTCTTCACCACTGCACTCCTCACAAACTCCCCTTCCCTCTCCCCAGGACAACTGCTTGGGTGGTTGTGCATGAATGGAGCTGGAGAGAGCAGAGCTGCTGGGACCAACCTGACACTTGGAAGAGGGCCCTATGCACAGTTGCAGAGTGGTGTGGTTTGTTCCTGGCCGGGTAGGCTGCTCTGGCTGGTGGGACCTATTTCAAACCTTTAGTACTTCTATAAGCATGTGCTTCCCTTCTCCTTTTCTAGCATAAGCCTCCTGCTCTCCAGAGCAAAGGCAAAGGCAGCAGGAGTGGGGCATGTTTTGCCAGCAGACCCTGACCTGGACTCTACACAGCTCCAGCTGAGCAGGCACTTGGGGGTCGGAGACTGCTGTGGGCCTGGTGCATTCCTCAAATGCCCTCCCTGAAACCACTGTTGTGGTTTCCCCTCCCATGCACTCCAGGTGCAGTTTCAGGCCCCTGTTAAAGACCCCCAAGTCTTTTTAAGTCTGAAAACACTACCTTGTGTTTGCCTGAAGGACAGCTTGGGGAATTGACAGCTCAGCCAGCACTTAGAGGAGCTCACCCAGAGGAGCCCTTGAAGCTGTCATTTGCACTGGATTTTCTTGCTGAGTGTTGAGAAGGTCAGTTGAGTTTTTGGGTCAGGTTGTCTCTATTTATTCCTGTCTGTGAGACTGGAAATACCCCAGGGAGGGTCCCAAACACCCCATCCCTCTGAACCCAGCCCTTAGGCAGTTAGGACCTTGCCCCAGTGTGCCAGCCAGGCACCTCCTCACCACCGACAGGTGTTTGTGGCCAGGTGCACAGCACCACACGGGTGTTTTGCAAGGCACACTGCTCAGGGGGAATGGATACTCTTGTTTTTAACCCATCTGAGTTGGACAAAGTCCAGACACAAGGACAACAGCAGATATTTGGATGGTTTTTTGGTTTTGGCAGGTTGAACCTTAGCTGATGCATTACTTACAGTGCTGTTCTTTGAATACTACCCTAGCTGTCATCATTCACCTGCTCTGACACAACAGGATTTCAGAGACCTTCTTTTTCCATGCTTTCCATTGCAAAAGTGAGAACTTACTGATAATGCTTAACATGTTCCTGCTGCATTGCAGCTGTTTCTGCTTTTGACCAGAGCTGTAAAGTAAAATTTAATTCTCCACAACTGCTCCAGTCAGATAGCAAACACAGAGGGAGGACTATGTCTAGTGCTGCCCAGGTTACTGAAAAAGTGTGTGAGTTATCCTCACTCTTTAAACTAAGGAAGGAATTAACCCCCACCTCTAATTAACCAGGACTTTTCCTAAAAGTGTTGCA